TTGAGGGAGTACTTGAGTGGAGGCCCAATGTCCTTCTGCTACCTTAATACTAAACCTATAAATATAGGCTTGTAGATCTATTTCCCCATCCTCATATATAAATATATAATAAACAAATAGATATAAACAAAAATATTACGCATCCTAAGCAACATTCACACCTGTTTTGTGTCTATAGATAAATCATTTTTATCAATGTGGGGAACACTTGCTTTATATAAATGCTTCTACTACAAACTAATGTGCCTTGCGAAAAGGTGGAAAGTTTATGGTTTCCCAGATTAGATACATACCAGTGATTATTCAACTTTTATGTCTATTTGTTTAATTTCACTAAAGTTCAGGTAAGTATTCTAAGGAAAATAAGCTACATGAAAAAATTAAAAGTGATATTAATTTTGACTTGACAATTTTCTGCCTCTTACAGAATATCAATAATGTATGCTTGCTAAAACGTAGTTTGGGAATTATTATTGTAGTTAAACAATAGGAAAATTCAAGGAGAACAAATGTCTCGGTACGATTTGGAAAAACTAAACTAAAACCCAAAACTCTTGTAAGCATATCAGGCCAGAGATGGGCCTGGAATCTGGACTGCCTGAATCTCAGGCCTATTTTCCACTCTGGAGGTAAAAACCACATGTGGCAATGGCTCACAACTCATGTTCACCAGGGTATGTATATGATGGCAAAGTAGTGTTGCTATAAAAAACTACGTAATTTAGGAGAACCATTGTAAGTACAATTGCACTGTAACCTTAAATGTCAGACTCTGTTTCAACACTCAGTGCCCTCTTAGAAAACAACAACAACCAAACAAAACCCAAACCTGCTGTGGATTCTGACTCATAGTGACCACATACTGAGTTCCTGAGGCTGTAACTCTTTACAGGGGCAGGTAGGCTCATCTTCCTCTTACTTCTTACTATCTTGTTATCCAACATTTCTTATTACAATAGTAAAAAAAATATAGCTTTTAGGCACATCCATGAAGTGTGCCTGTTAGTAACAAATACTGAGGTGCAAGGCAAGCGTAATGTTGGCTAAGGTGGTTCAAATTATGTATCAGCTCAGGTGAGCCATGATTTTCAGTGATCTGGTAATTATGTGTTGATTAGATCTGGCAGTTACGTAGTGACGCCATCATCCTTCTGTCTATCTATTTTTCTGTCTGTCTGATGTGGTCAGCCTCCACGTTTGTGCAATACTGTTATTAGCATAATGATTTGTGCCTGGGCCCTAACCAGGCTTTATCAGTAAGGAGCAGGTATAGATTCTTGTGGTAAATAACAAATGCCATACCTGCCCCAGGCGGCTTCATTGGTTGATGCTTTATTAACTGGAACACAGGAGGAGTCGATGACGGCTGATTTGTTCATCTTGTAGCAGAAACCGCAGTCCGGGTCCAACATGCATTCATTGCAGTAACTGTAAAAGGAGAAGAGAAAGTTACAATCATTTTCGCAGAGACAACTGCTGTTCATGATATACTTGCTCCACTTTTCTCTAGATTTTCTACATGACTCGCAGTCAGGTTGGGGCCATGGGTTTAGTCTATGGCAAGAGATGCATGCCAAGACAGAGGAGGGAAGCTTGTTTCTTTGATTTCCCTGTTCTCTGGCTGAAGCATACCTGGAAGCCAGTGGAGATAGAGGCGGCTTGGATATGAGATCCTAGAGGTAAAAACTCGAGTCAACCTGCATCAAATAAACTTTTGGTCTCCCAAATCAGTGGAGTTTGCTACCACAGTACAAGCTCACCCACAGGTAATAGATGAACTGGGTCATAAAAGGAATTTACCAGGCAAATGAGAGAAGGGCCTTAGAGGAAACGGCTTATTTTACATTTAAAGATGAGTCAGCACAGATATATTAAAAACCTACTTTGTACAAGTGATTATACTATGGAGTGTGGGAAGAGAATCTGGCTAAAAACTAGGGCCAAGTCATCAGAAAAAATAATTAAGGGGCAATACAGCCAAGTCCCTGGGTTACCACTTGAGGACAACTCCTCCTTGCCTTTTACTATTATGTGAACTTGTCCTCACTTTGCAACAAATGGGAGAAAGACTATGCCTGTAGAGTTGCAGTCTCGGAAACACACAGGGCTATCATGTTCTATACTATAGAATCTATAGCGTTATTATGAGTCGGCATAGACTCATGGCAGTGCCTTTGGCTTTTTGATTTTGCAACAAATGAACTAAGCCCTTAATCAAACCAAGCCAAGCCCAGCCCATCCCAATACAGTCACAAGGAGTTGATTCCAACTCATAGAGATCCTATAGGACAGAGTAGAATTAGTGTTTCATGGAAACACACTGGCACATCTTACCTTGCAAAAATGGCTGGGGAGCCCGAGCTGCCGACCTTCCAGTTGGCAGCTGAGCATAAAGCCACTGGCTCCTGGAAGCAACCCCTACTAATCACCTTCACCTGCTGTGGTTGCAGATTTTCAATCATGGAAATGGCTTGGAGCCTTTTCTCGAACTAAACTAAGGCTAAATTAGAACAGCTTGCTCTGCCCCACTTTACCTACAAATTCTTCAATACACACTTAGGAATGGATGTAGACCACACCCCAAGGTCTGCCTGTATTTCTGATTTCGCAACATCAAAAGGTCAATGTTCTTTACAAAGGTGATTTGGCAATGTAAATATACAATTGTCTACCCCTGTGGCAAGTACACTACAGAAAGATTAGAAAGATATACCCTAAGCTTCTAGCTTTGAGAACCAGACGGGGCTTATTTGGAGAGGAAAGAAAATCGCTCTATATTTTGTTTTTTTATTCTGCCCATGAGAGGTCAAATATAATAACCCCAACAGTTTCCGTTTAACAACCCTGGTTGTTTGGGAAAGGTCAACTCACTCATTTGCAGAGAACTAGCTTTCTACTTATTTCTCTGAAAATATGTAGTTCACATAAAAAGGTCAAAACTCAACCATAAAGGCTGATAATTAGCGAGAACCTACTATCTCTACATGTCAGACATGTGGGCGTTATCCACTCGGCCTTACATATCCAATTCTGACCACTTATCCCTTCTTCCGACATGCTTAATAAAGACATCCTAGAGCAGTCATTCAACACATAGAAAGAGTTGCATCTACTTTGTTTCAGGTATTGGAATAAATTGTTTTTGCTGTTAGTTGCTGGCCAAGTCAATTGTGACTACTGACAACCCAATGCCATGTGTGCTTATGGCAATTCAACCCCATGTTAGAGTTTATAGGGTTTTCAAGTCTGTGACCTTCTGGAAGTAGATCACTAGGCCTTTCTTCCAAGGCACCTCCATGCAACAGACTGCCTACCTGGGTGGTGCTTCTTTGTATATTATACTTTCTACTCACCTCTAAGAAGAGCCGGTTAACGGACTCTTCAAATTCTTTCCTGTTCACTCACTTTTTCCTTTGTCTAGCTTCATGACCATGACACTCGTTTCACCATCCGATTTCCCTGTCTCTTCATTTCCTCATCCCACCTAGCTGTCAAAACTCTTAGTTATATATGTATGCATGGAGTCTTGGTGACACCCATGGGTATGCATCCAACTATGAATCCAGTGGCTGGTTGGCTGAACTCACTTCATAGCTCAACAGAAGAAAAGACCTAGTTATATGCTTCCATAGAGATTGCAGGAGGGAAATTCTATTTTATCATATGTGCTGCGATGAGTCAAACTGATTCAATGGCACACAAGGGAAATTAGAAAATATTTCGAGATACATAAAAACGAAGGTACATCATATCAAAATTTAGGAGCTGCAGAAGACAGAATGCTTAAGAATTTAGTTTTTAAAAAAAAGTTTTTAACATTTTTATGCTTACACTAAAAAAAGAATGCTCTCATATTAATAACCTAGATGTTGGCTGTATAATGAAGTAGGGCATTAATTTAAAAGGTCTGAGATAGGGCAGGAAATTGGAATGAATGCAAGTCCAGAGAGAAACTGTAAGGAACAGCTGCACCTTAAAACTGAAGAGTGAAAAAGTAGACTGGAGAGTTGTCTGTTTGCTATTCAGAAGATAGCACTGTTCCGACCTGCTGCCTTTTCATCAGTCTGTAAAGGTGCAGCGGAAGTCATTTGCGAAGGATCAAGGAAAGGGAAGCAGTGGAGGTCTGAAGACCGTGAAGAGGCCTGAGAGTCCATCTACAGGACGGAGGAAATAGCCTGGTGTAGAGTCGACTAGAGAAAACTGCTAAGAATTTCTGGTTTGTTGCGTGTCCATTTGAGCCTGATCACGGTGACTTGTAGAAAAGCTCATGGGCTGGCCTTTTGTGGTGCCTTCCCCTACATGTGCCTGTGCCAGGGACGGAACAGGCAGGATGAATATAATGCCGCATTCTCCATCCTAGAGAATGTCCCATGTCTACTTGCGAAGACTGCTGTTGGATCGTGCTCTTTGGCTATGTTAGGAACTGTACGGTTGATAGTAATTCTGCTGATTTTATAGTATCTTAACCTCCTGGTTTCTAATAGTCTTCACCTCCACACATTGCTTAATTCAATCCCTGGGATTATCATCTATGTAAACCAAACGTTAGCAAATTATACACCTTGGGATATATCTGGGTTAGCTACTATTTTTGTAAATTGTTTGATTGGGACACAGACATGCGTCTTTGTTGATATGCTTTCTATGGCTGTTTTTGTCCGACAGCCGCATAGATAAAGAGTTGCAACAGAAACCATAGGGCTTACAAAAACACTACTATCTGGGCCTCACAGAAAAATGTGTGTTGACCGTTGGTCTAGTACTTCTTTACAGAGTCCGTAAGTTGATACCTCACTCCTCTCCCTCAACCCCCATCCCCATTTGGCATTTATCTGCCTCATGCAGACATTGAACACATCTTTCTTCCAACCCCTCACTTGTTCCATGGCATTACTTCATTGTCTTAGGGGTACATTCCTTTCACCATGCTTACAAGGCCAGAACATCTGTCTATGTGTCTTTCTAGTACAGCCACAAGGAGCTCTGGTGGCATAATGGTTCTATGTTAGGCTGCTAACAGTAAGGTCAGCAGTTCAAGACCACCAGCTGCTCTTCTGAAGAAAGATGAGGCTTTCTGTTCCTGTAAAGAGTGAGTCTCAGAAACCCACAGGGGCAGTTCTACCCTGTCCTACAGGGCCATTGGAGTCAGAATAGACTCAATGAAAGATAGCTGTGTTTTTTAAAGAAAAATTATAGCCAACCCTACAAACCGTCATGCTTGACTGCTCCTAACTGTATTTCTTCCTTGCCACATACAGGCTAAATAGAACTGCTGGAGAAATAACCCAACTAAGGACATTAGCAAAAAACACAGTCATAGCATTCAACCTACCCTGGATTCTTACAGCTTTTAGGAAACTTCTTCACACCCCTCATCAATGACTTTGTTTACTTTCACAGTTGACATTCCAAAAAGTCACAACTTCCCTCAAACTCTAATAATTCTCCCGTGAATCTCTTAGAAGAAGGAGGACCTTCCCAACTAGTTCTTCTCAGTGACAACTGACAGGAACATGTACAGGCGTTCCCAGCTTTAACCTCACACACGAGCAAACCTGTGGACAACGACGCCTGTCCTCACCTCTCCCTTTAGGGTCTAAAAGGAGATGTCACAGGTCATTTCTCTCCAGGGCTTCACACTGCGTTCCTCATAGTCATCAACAACACCGTTTACCATGAGTCACTTTCTCTTTGCTTTGGCCCTCTCGCAGATGAGACTGGTGTAACGTGCAGGCTTGAGGTAAAATAGTTGAAAACCATCTTCCTCACATCAGCTCGCAGTTTACACTCAACAAAAGAGGCCAAGCACTAAACGGTTGACAATTTCCTTGCCACCTCGGGGAGCTGGACACTGTTTGGGAACTGATATTGCTGGTTCTTATCTTGTGCCTTTGGAGGAAAGACAAAATTTCATACAATTCCCTCATCCTTTATCTGGATTTAAAAATGCATATCGTATGGACTATTTATGGCAAAATCCTTCCACAAAAAACAGCATCTCAACCTGCACCTTGACATTTAGAACCTGTTTCAGCTATAACAGAAGTACAAGAGGATAACTTGAACAAACACATTTATTTTCTCCCAGTTTAAAAGTCTGAATCCAGAGCGTCTGCTCCAGGGGAAGCTTCCTCATTGTGCCCGCTACGGAGGAAGGTCCCAGTCTCCTTCAGCTTCAGCTTCCTGGCTCCTTGAAGATCTCTGTATGTCTAGGTAGCAATCATCCCTTGGGGAAAGGTTCTCAGTACAGGGACCCAGAGTCCAAAGGATGTGTCTTACTCGTGGCTCTTTCTTGATGGTAGTCAGCTCCCCTGATTTCTGCTAGATTGTGCAAACTCTTTTATATATCAGAAGAGATCAATTTAAGATGCAGCTCTATCCTGTAGATTGTATCCTTCCTCTTTAACATTATGAGGTTGCAACACATA